TAGAAAAGTTCAAAACATTATTTAAAGAGATATTCGAAAATATTTGATGAATGACTCCATAAAAGGGATTCATTGGGATGTTTGGGATGTGAACTTAAACTAAATGTTATTTTAATGACATCAATATTATAAATATGTGAGTATTGGTCAACTGACTACTGTATTATAACAATTGTTGTAGTCATTAGTTAAATAGCTTCCACTAATTTATGCATCTCATGAAATATATATTTAACATGATACTTAAAAATATTATTAGAGTAAAACTGTACAGTATAAATTTTGTAAACTAATAAATACTTATAACTCACGAACGGTAAAAAATTACAATATACAAGGTTAAATACAAATTTCTTATCATTCAATAGCTTACATATTAATTTTCAATTTCTAATCTATTAAATATAATAAAATATTCATTAATATAATTTTGAATTTAAACTACAATTCATTGCAATTTCCAAATTCGTTAAGTCAGATTTCAATATTTATTTATCAAGATAACTTATTTAATAAATAATTATTAAAAGGATTAATAAAAATACAGATATATATATTTAAATAGTAGTTATAAACTAATAAAAGATCTAGTTTATTGTATTCATATTGAACTGTTAAGACAAAAATAAAAAATGGTTTCAAAATCATATCAAATATAGCGCCAAATATATGAAATGAGTTGTGATTTGCAAATATCTGTATGTTTTGGTGTTTATGCGAAACACTCATAAACTAGACATCAATTGATTACAATTTGCAAACTTACGTGTGTTTTGTTATAAATGATTGTAATTTAGCCATAAATTGCAATCATTTGAGTCTATATTATGGCAATTATATTGAGAAATGCATTGAAATTAAGTCAAGTGTTGGGAAACAATGCTTTGAATGCAAATAGGATTGTATTGATTGGAGTGAGAAATTGTATGTATTATGCGATTAACGGCTAATTAATGGCCAACTAATGGTGTATTGAATGGACAGGCGGTTGGATTAGGGACTGGAAACCCGGCCAATACCCCAAGACTCAGGAGGAGAGGAAGGCCGCGGCCAAGAAGTACAATCTCATCCCTGAAGACTACGAGCCCTACCCCGAGGGCAGCGGATACGGAGATTATCCTAAATTACCGGTAAATTAAGAGCCAATAACTGACACGACTGTCCATTGTGTGAACTAATGGTGTGTTGTTGTCCATCAGGAAGTGGGTCAGGACGCCAGAGATCCCTATGAAGACTTCGACTATCACTATAGGCGACANCAATGGACAGTCGTGTCAGTTATTGGCTCTTAATTTACCGGTAATTTAGGATAATCTCCGTATCCGCTGCCCTCGGGGTAGGGCTCGTAGTCTTCAGGGATGAGATTGTACTTCTTGGCCGCGGCCTCCCTCTCCTCCTGAGTCTTGGGGTATTGGCCGGGTTTCCAGTCCCTAATCCAACCGCCTGTCCATTCAATACATCATTAGTTGGCCATTAATTAGCCGTTAATCGCATAATACATACAATTTCTCACTCCAATCAATACAATCCTATTTGCATTGAAAGCATTGTTTCCCAACACTTGACTTAATTTCAATGCATTTCTCAATATAATTGCCATAATATAGACTCAAATGATTGCAATTTATGGCTAAATGACAATCATTTATAACAAAACACACATAAGTTTGCAAATTGTAATCAATTGATGTCTAGTTTATGAGTGTTTCACATAAATACCAAAACATACAGATATTTGCAAATCACAACTCATTTCATATATTTGGCGCTATATTTGATATGATTTTGAAACCATTTTTTATTTTTGTCTTAACAGTTCAATATGAATACAATAAACTAGATCTTTTATCAGTTTATAACTACTATTTCAATATATATATATATATATATATCTGTATTTTTATTAATCCTTTTAATAATTATTTATTAAATAAGTTATCTTGATAAATAAATATTGAAATCTGACTTAACGAATTTGGAAATTGCAATGAATTGTAATTTAAATTGAAAATTATATTAATGAATATTTTATTATATTTAATAGATTAGAAATTGAAAATTAATATGTAAGCTATTGAATGATAAGAAATTTATATTTAACCTTGTATACTGTGATTTTTTACCGTTCGTGAGTTATAAGTGTTTATTAGTTTACAAAACTTATACTGTACAGTTTTACTCTAATAATATTTTTAAGTATCATATTAAATATATATTTCATGAGATGCATAAATTAGTGGAAGCTATTTAACTAATGACTACAACAATTGTTATAATACAGTAGTCAGTTGACCAATACTCACATATTTATATTGATGTCATTAAAATAACATTTAGTTTAAGTTCACATCCCAAACATCCCAATGAATCCCTTTTATGGAGTCATTCATCAAATATTTTCGAATATCTCTTTAAATAATGTTTTGAACTTTTCTAACATTTATTTATTTTTCTATTTTAATCATATTTATGTTTATTTCATCAACTTATCTCTCTCCCTCCCTCCCTCTCTCTCTCTCTCTCTCTCTCTCCCTCTCTTCAGTTTAAATTCAAAGCTATATAATTATTATCGCATAAAAATGATTGTATAATAAATCATTAATTATTATCTATTTTATAGTTGAATTCATTTCTTATAATAGTCATAACATTTTAATAATAATTTTAAAATCATTTTTAATTACAAATAATAATATATTGAAAATTATTTATAATCTATTTTATTGTCTAGAAAAATGTTTGTTTAAATTTTATTTTCAAATTCAAATGTTTTTATAATTAAATTTTACAAACATTTTCTGGTGAAATAAAATGGAAAGGAATTTCACAATGCATTTAAAATTCAAATTAAATGTATATTTGAAGTAAAGAATTGTGTGTTTGGGTCGTGAACTATAGCCCAGTCGGAGGTCATACCATCAAATAGTTGAGTAGTTTTTGACAATCAAATCACTATTCAATGATATGATAGCTATTCTGACTGAATATCAAACTAATCGCTTATACGTTGCTTGTAATGAATTACAGGTTTCTTTATTTCGTTTTCGTATATTTCAATGATTTTCATACGAAAAACCAAAACCATTATCTTTGGTTCAAAACTGAAATTAGTTTATTTTCTTATTATTGATGACTTCCACTATTATCTTCTTTTGCTAAATATTTTATAATTTAAATGAATGATAAAGACCTGAATGTTTAAAAAGATATCAATTCAAATAATTAATGAATTGTCGCTTCTTTAACTTAATCTATGGATCACTATTCGGGATGCGATCCAAATGTCGGTCATTTATGCTCTAAACAAACATTTTTTCAAATCAATTCAATCATTCATTTATTAACCAAATAATTAAAGACTTTTCTAAATTTTTCAGATAACCATAAAAATTCGTAAGAATTTTAAGCATTTTTTTAGCAAAAATATATATATTTCAATTGAGATGTTAGTTATTTGAAAATGTTAGATTAATTAAACTAAGATATCAACTTAATCAATGGTTTAGTTTTTATTAACAAAACCCATTCTATAATAAAGTTAATAAAAATTCTAGACTTTATTTAATTGAGTTTTAATTTAATTTAATAATAATATAATTAACAAAATAATACTTTTTAGCTAAGATATAGGAAATAGATTTTAAGATATAGGTGCAAGAATGTACAAATGTTATAACATTAAAAAATTGTGTCCAAAGTTAGCACTTTTTAAAAGACAAAAACTGTATGTTTGGGAGCGGTTTGATTGCATGCCTTTCTATAATTTCGATTTAACATTATAAAGTGCATGAATTTATTTGAAAAATTACTTTCTATATTAAGTCTTATTTTAATGTCATTTATTTCATTTAAAGACATTTTTCAAAGAATTAAATTCGCTCATTAGGTATGCATTAATTTTAGTGTTTTATATTTTATATTTTTGTGAATAAAATTACTTTTCGGCAATAAAACTAATTTTACTTTTAATAGTATTATATAATATATTTATATTCATTTATGAATTTATAATTTCAATTACAATCAAAACTTTTAGACACAAACATATCGACGAAGTGTTTGTGTGTTTTCTCATCAAATGAAATCTCGCATACGATAAATACATTTACATAAAAGTCATTAAATATTGGCTTTTGATTATATAATGGTTAGCATTGAGTGAATTGAAGTCTGTCTGCACTGACTTATGCGGCGATGTTATGCTTGAGGGCAATGATGTCTAATAGGAATAACTATTGAGTAAAAGTAATGTTTCGTGTTTTACTTATACAGTGGTTACCCATTGCTTGAAGTTTTTTGTGGTGTTCTATACCCTATTGATAATGGTTTGAACAAGGTCTTAGACAGAGAAAGCTATCAATTCAAAGCTGTCATTACTCGCATTCATAACTACTTTCTTGAATCCAGAATTGTTTTATGAGTTAAGAGAGAGAATGAAGTATTGAATAGAGTTTAGTATCGCTTACAAACAAACCCACGAAATATGAATAACTATTGTCTATGTAATGTTACTTGGCTTTTGTCTCTCGTAATTATCGCAAATCATTTGCTGTTTATTCAATGCAATCCTTTGAGTAACAATCAAACAAAACCCCAAACCAATGGTAATTTAATGATCACTTTTTCCACTCATATAATAGTGGTTTTCATTTCATACCGAATAATAGATTCCAAAGAATTATTTAAATATTTTTCGCCAAAGAAGAGCTGCTTTTTCAAAGGGATTACATATTTATCAGGAGAGAGGATAACACGACGCCATCGATGCCATCACTGTCTTTGCGAAAATGGTTTTGTCAGATGTTTCTGGTATTTATTCTTTCAATTAATTAACACTTAATAATACACCATATTATCAACTTTTATGAATATTTCAAAGTAATCATATATTTATTCAAAATTATAATCATTAAACACTTTTAATATCTTAATAATATTAATATAATTTATGATTTAAAGGCAGAGCTGTCCCCCACCTCCTGAGGGCTGTTCAGTGATTCCTTATGAAGGAGTATGCAATCCATCCATTTATAACTGCCGTAAGTTTATTAGTTTTAATATAAAATTTAATACATTTTAGGCTAATATGAATGAATAGATCATTAGACTTAAAAGCTTTATAAATCAATTAAACCAGAAGAGGAAATTTTTAGATTCATTTAAAATAAAATTTTTAAAAATGTTAATAAAATTTTTATTAATTTTTATCCGCAAATTAATAAAATCAAAAACTAAAGCAATTCCTGAACGAAACGCAACACTATATGCAAAGTCGAGGCGAAGACAGAGATATGGCTCACGAAAGTCAGACGAAGGTCTGGTTCGCGCCGATTGTGTGATCCGAGGCATCGCTTACTTCACGGGAGAGACCATAGGAGTGGCCTCTAATAATTGTCGTTAACTTACTTATGCTTTGTTTATTATATTATTCACTAATGTGTTGTGTCTTCCTTAGGTCTGGAGTGTCGGTGCGCTAAGAATTCCATGTATTGTTCACCTCTTTGTTGCACTTTTCAGAGGACAACCACTGAAGAAAACTTTGGAATCAATTATAGACGAATTGATACACAGAATAGAGTTCCCGATCCAAACCCTTTATCTCATATTTATGAAGAGTTAGGCTTACCTCCAGTTGGCACCTTTACCTAAACTCATTTTACCCGTGTATACAGTCAATGAATAGTTTCATGATTTGTTCAAAACTTTGTACTTTATATTTGTGGTCTTCATCTAATAATTTATTTATTTTTCTCATTTTAAAAAATAAACTATTTATAACACATTTAAACTTCAGAATATGTTTGTCTGGTAATAAAAATAATTATTTATTTAAATTAAATTTTTTCAAAGTGATAACTACTCTTTATGATAACTTTAATTCCGTAATTAATTCACCTAGAATAATTATTTTTCATTAAACATTTATGTATATTTATTAAATTAAATTATTAAATGAATGAAAAATCAAAGAAATTTAAACTTTATATTCTATTCAAATCTTTTATATTAATTGTAAAACAAATTATTATATTAAAAGATTAGAATTTATAAATATGTACCTGTACCTCAGATGTATCATCATATTTATAAATAGCTATGATTATCATTGATTTTATTCAAATTTTTAGTACACGACATATAATTGACACAAAATTATGAAATTATAAATTTTTAATAATTTAAGTAATAAACATATTTTATGAATTTAACATTGTATTAATAACATTTTAGTTATTAATTAAAATATATAAATAATCTATATAATATTTTATAGTTACATTTATAAGTTAATTTATGGAAAAATATACTTTTAAACAAAATATTTTGAATCTTATATAAAATAAAATATTTTTACATAAAAATAGACAGTAAATACTAAAGTTACTAACTATTGTCTTACAAATTATACTTATAAAAAGTAACTTATTTTTTAAATATTATATTGTATTTTGTCAATACAGTACATAAACAATAATATACACTATTTACATAAAGGTATTAATATAACGTGATAGATTCCAAAGTGTAATAAAATACTGTTAAATTGAGCAAATAACTTTAAATTTAAATCAACATAAAATATTGTATAAAAATAGTAATGTAAAATATAATATTTACGTTATGTATAATAATTAGAGAGAATTGGTAAAGATTATGCCTTAAAACACAGAGAATATTGTTTTAATAATATAATAATTATTATTACAATAAAAATATACGATATATTTGACAAATAAATGGTCATCAAATCAAAACCTCCAAATCTCTTTATGTTAATTATGAATCCACCAAAGATTAATATAAACTCATGTACAATTTTACAAGTATAGTAATTTTTAAATTATAATGATTAAAATGTTTAGAAAAGTTATAAATATATTTACTAAAAATAAAAGTTATGGTTTAATAATTATGGTTCAAATGAATGAATATAGAAATGAAAACACACTTTGATGCAAAGTGTTTAACAGGATTTATGTAAACTTCATATTGAAAGCGATTTCTTTTTGTTTCGATTTTTACCATTTTTGCCAAAAACCAAACCAATCATTTTGGATACTGTGATACCGGAGCTGGTCTTACGTCTGATTTGGGGCAGACCTTGCATTGAAAGTAGTGGCGATATTTGTCTTATAAGGCTCTGAAAGGCAAGACTGACTCCGACACAGCTCTCAGCAGCGGATACCTCATAGAACTGACACTTGTATTGCAGACACATCTCCTGTCCATCGTTTACCTCAACCTGTAATACAATTGATTAATTTGACACCAAAATCAAGTTTCCATAAAAAAATATTTTTAATCTCCAAATAAATTATTGATAAGAAATGGAGTTTAAAAGTAATATAAATAATCGATTAAAATAATCGGTCAATGCTTTTGCGAAAGTAGTGAACACATGAAGACATACCTGTCGGGAATGTTCGGCCAAATCTCTCTTATTGCCCAAAAGCATGATTGGGTACATTCCGGGCCCTTTCAGCACAGATATAGTCTCGAGCAGATGTCTCGCGTGAATAAAACTTTTTTTGTCGCAAATCGAGTAAACGATTGCAAAAGCGTTTCCCCAACTGATGTGATCGTACAGACACTGAGCGTTCTGTTCACACAATTCATCAATGAATTCAGGTTTCAATGCATGAAACATTCAATGAAACATTCACTCTCTAAATAGCTTTTCAAATCAAATCATCTTACTTTACAACCAGAAGTGTCTAGGATCTCTATTTCTGTCATTATATCGTCAAACTTCACTGAATGGGTGTACAAAAAATCTAATTAAAAGTACAAAGTTATGTGATTAGACTTTTAGAAACAAATGCAAAAACAAAACAATCATAATTAAAATAATAATAATATTCTCAATGAATATAACAAACAAATAGTGATTAGCTATGCTGTAGGTATAGGTACGGGAAGTAAGTGTTGCCAAACGTACAAATGGTTGTGCTGTCAATCAGTGATTGATTATATAATTTGAATGGCATTGACATTAAAACATGTTGTGATCACAAACGAGAAAACGTTTAAATTGAATGAATTAAAGGGTAAATGTACTCGACTTGTGCTGAGTTAGACATTAAGGCAAATAACTCTCACTTTTTTGAATCTATAATCCTTAATAACATGAAAAAGTGGTGTAATCTATAAGTTTGTTGGCATTCAGTCGGAAACGGTCGATGAACTAAATGCTCATCAAAACAGGAATCATAAATCGGTGTTGTATTGGATTCATTGATAATTTCGAAAGCCATTTAAATTATATAAAACAATTGAAAGTAAATGACATCTAATTATCACTCTTTATGGCCATCAATAAACTCATCAAACGCTTAAACATATGTTTGGATTGATGTCATAAGAAATTAGAAAAATGCGGTGATTTATAGGAAAATGCAATGCACTGTAACTGAGAAATGAAAAACAAGCACAAGTCGTAAAACTTGGTATATTTAAGATTATACAACAACTTATAATTACTTATATAAAACACGAATTTTAAAGTCTATAATATAAATATAATGGTGAAAAAAGTTTAAAAACAATACAAATAACTGTTAGCCTTTTATAATACGAATTATACTATTTATAGATTTACTAGCATATGATTTAGTGTTGTTTGATTGAAACACGTATAAAATTGCTTTTAAAATGTAATATCTTATAGTTTTCAAATGTACTGAAATTATTAAGTCAATTCATAAACCATTTTATGAATTATAAAGTCAATTCATTACTTACAATGCATTCCCTTGAAATGTTCCCGCTAATTGCAATTAAACTCGACTAAATTATACTCGTATGGTACTGTATAATAATAATATCCAGGTCCCATAAACTTTAGGAATGTCTTAGGTGTTAAAATCGGTGGTTATATCGGTTTTATAGCAAAAAGTATAGAGTTTTATAGCGAGTCGACCGATTACCACCGATTTGGACACCTAAGACATTCCCATAGTTTACCAGACCTGGATATGATTACTATACGAGTATAATTGAGTTGGGTTTAATTGCAATTAGCGGGAACATTTCAATGGAATGCATTGTTAGTAAAATAATGATGGAAAGATAGAGTAGACTTACCTCTACTTGAACTGTATTCACTTATATAGCGTTTTGTAAGGAATCGCACAGTGACTGCTGTTAATATAAATTACAAAAATTATAAATTTCATATTTATAAAAATATTATACAATTATTTATGACAGAATAAAACTAAATTATTAATTGCAATGTAAGTACTGTACAATAAATATATTTACTGATCAAAAACTTTTTTATTTATTGAAGCAAGTTTTTACTTTATATTACTGCCAAATAATAAATATTTATTGTTATCTTGTTTAATTATAATTCTTATATTACTATAAAAATAAATCAGCATAATAAAAATATTTATTTGTTTTTACAGTTAATTTATAATAAACAGAACATATATTTAAAAATGAAATTATATTTTAACATTCAAAGAAAATAATTAAAAATAACTTATACTCAATTTGCAATAATGTTATATATTTGCATTAAATTACTGTATATCTATTATTAAGCAATGAATAAATTTAAACATTTAAGTCAAATAAAAGTTAAAAATTGTTATTTAAAAGGAAATATGAGCACAAATTTCAAGGTCACGATTCTGGGCTTAAATATATTAAATATACTAAAAAGTCTTTAAATTATCAAAATTTATATTGCGATAATTTATTATTTTTTCAAAACTCAAAATCATTTAAATATTTAATGATTCAAACATTTTTCCACAAAATATAAAAATATAATATGAATTGTTGTGCCATTTATTTTGTTTATTATGTTTTTGTGGTTAACTAATAATTGGGTAACGGATTCATCGATTATCTAATCTAATCGTATGTATTGATAATATATAATCTAAAGCTAATCAAATGAGTGAATAAAAGCATATATAATTAATTGAAATGTTTATTGAAATTGAAAATGTACTTTAATTAATTGCTTTCAAATATTTGTTTTATTAATATTATAAAACAATTAATATTTGAATAATTTAAAATAATATCACGTCCAAATAATAATATTAATATAATTATTAATATTGTCTCAGAATATAAAATATTGTTTACAAACATAAAATATGTTACATAACTTAAATTGTATGTAATAACAAAAATGTATGAAAGATGCCTACTTTTCAATAACTAATAGTTGTATAACACCTCCACAGAAATATGTTATATAAAATACTGTATAATAATAATTAGTAGATTTTCATTAAAAATACCTGTATATGTCTAAACAAAATAATAGGACTTCACATAACAGGAAATTTGTTGAGATTTTATTATGAAATCAATTCATAAGACTTCACATAACATTTGAAACAATTCATTAACTTATAACTGGGTTCAATAAAGCCTATAATCATAGATCATAGTATGGATGGTGTGTTAGCAGATGGTGCAGACCTACAGACCTGTCTCAGAGCCCATACCTATCATAATAGTGGACCCTGTGTTGAGCCAATTATATATGTGCGGCGATTGAGCCCTAAAGCAGTTTCTTATAAACAATTATAATCCTTAAGTATAATTTCTCGAAAACAATATATTTCTTCACTTATTGTACAGTATATAGAGTACTGTTAAACACATAACACATAACACATAACGCAAGCAAATATG